ACACTCTGTCGGCCGAGGCCCCGTCGATGGAGCGCGTCCTGGACGCGCGGCAAGTCGATGGTTGTTACCCAGGCCGATCGCCAGCTCCTCGGGGGCAGTCGTCTTCAGCCTGGCCTCCTGGACTGACGCCGCCTGGGGGCAAAGGTGCATCCAGCGCCGTGGCCCGCCAGAGAGCGTCGCGGCCGCTGTCGCAGCACCAGTCGTAGACGCTCTCAAAGCTGCCCCAGGTCTCCACATTCAAAACCAAAAATATCAAACAATTGCCGTCCGTGCACTCCTGCTTCCCAGCAGCTGGACGAGCACGCGCACCTGCCGGGCGAGCATGGCGCTGTCCCGTTACAATGTTTTCCGCACCGTTATGGGCGCAATTCGGGGGCGAGGGAGAGCTCGCACCAGTCAACTCAACAGGAGGAAGTGCCCCCTGGTCGTCGTAGTGCTCGACGAGACTGGGAAGACCACGATCTCCCAGCACGCCCCACATCTCGTCCTGTATCCGCCGAAGCCCTGACCAGTGCTGGGCGATGGTGCTTTGCCACTGGGCCTCGTTGTGCTCTGCAAGCCGTCGGATGAGACCCAGGATGTCGGCCCGCCCCTCCGCGCCAAGGTCCCAGGCGTCGCCGCGCATGTCCTGTGCCACTTCTCGTAGAGAGCGCCCATCTCGAGCGCCGCGCGCCCGAATATGCCGCCGCTGCCGCGGGGGCTCCAGCACGAAGGGGATGCAGCACTCGTTCCAGGCGCGGGCCCCCAGCTCCGAGTCGCCGAGTCGAGGCGCCCCCCTGGGATGTGGCCACCGCTGTGACACCGTCGCGGAAGACATCTTCTGGACCGCCATGGCCAATTTCGTTTGGAGGCGGGGGCCTTTCCATGTCTTCGGGCGGGTTGGCGCGGCTCGCTTCCTCCGCCCTGCTCTCGGCGGCAGGCAGTCGAGCGACCCCCGATGAGGACGAAGAAGCCGCCGCCGATGGCCCATCAGGCCGAATGTGACGCGGTTCTGGCAGGACACGGGCAGCAGGCTGATGTCGTCGTATTGCGGCTGCTGGTGGTGGCGAACTCAGGTTGCCCGCGCCACGCTGGTCCTGACTCAACAGGAGCTCGAGCGAATGGTCGAGGAACGTGCCGTCGCCGCGCTTGCCGCCACCACCTCCCGAGCCTTGCGCCTGAATATCCATGTCCAGCTCCGAGCGGGGGACAGCGGCCTCAGTTGCAGGCGGTCGAGCTGCTCCTGACGAGGGCGGAGTAACTGCCGCCGACGGCCCATCAGGCCGAAGGCGATGAGGACATGGCACCGAAAACGCCGATCAGGGCGCGCTCGGTCGGGCCAGCTGCCGCGATGTCGAAGCCGACGTCGGGCCACTCCTGGTTCGCTGCGTTGGCCTTCCAGAACTCGACGGGCCCCGAGGCCTGTTCTCGACGCGCGGCCAGCGCCGCACTGCATGCCGCCCCAGCTGCAGCATTCGTGGCGCCCTCTGCCCGTCCCGCCGAGCCGCCGACGGCGGCTGCCGCTGGGCAGTCCCGCGGCTGGCCGAATGGGCGAGCAGCCTGCCGACCGCGGCCTACCCAGGGATGCTTCGCCGACGGGAAGCATCCAGGAGGGGAAAAAAAGCACAGACACAATTAATCGTCGATTCCCTGGAACAGATGGGAACATTTGGGAAGTTTGGGGGGGAGACGAAAACTTGAAAATCTTGGGCAATATGGGGAATCCGGTTATGTGTGTTATTTATTCGTGTGTCCCAGGGCCCCTTCAGGGAAGCAGTCCGGGGTCGGGTGAGTCTGGCGGCCGAGAGGGAGTTGCCGAACTCCCAGCAAAGGACCCTGAAGACCCAGTATTTGTGCCACCGCCCACTTCGTTGGCCTCCCTCCCCGGCTGCGCAGACCCAGACATGGGATAGAGCAGGAGTTCTGCCGTGAGGTGGCTAGCCCCTTCGGGCGCTGGCTTTCGGTGCCCTCGAGGAAGATGGGCACGATGACGTCTTGCCAGCGCTGCACTTGGAAGAGGTCAGTCGTCATCAAAGCTGCCGTTGCCTCTTGACTGAGTGCTCTGCCAAGTAATTTTCCGAGATCCCCAAACGGGGTGGTGACCACACCGTGCGGTGAGTCGGTGGGGGATTCGGGGTCACCGCACGGTTTTGGGACTCGGGTCGTTCTCCGAGGATGTCTCGGGCGATAGGGGCCTCCAGGGTCCCAAAACCGTGCGGTGACGGACCGTGCGGTGAAGTCTTCGGGGATTTTGAGGTCACCGCACGGTCTGTCATCGCACCGTTTTGGGACTCCAAGAATTTGCAACTTCAGCCTGAGGGTTCTCGCTCTCCATGGCCCACTTGAGCCCTGCCTGGAAGTCGAGGTCCTCTTAGTCGGCCCGGGTGGGGGCCGTGCGTGCTGGTTCAAGCGCGCCGCCGCCTCCTGAGCCAGAGCTGCCACCGCCGCTAGTGGGATTAGCGCCAGGCTGGCTAGCATCCCCAGCAGCACGGGCCGCCGCCTTCGCCGCATCGTGCAGGGGCTGTAGGGTCTCGAACGCCGCCTGGCCCTCGTCACTGTCCGCCACAGAGGGGTCCAATCCCGCCATGCTGACAGTGACAGGGTCATCCACGTCCTGGAAGTTGACCTTGTGCAGCATCTTGGCGCGACGCTCAAGGTCCTTGCGCGCCTCGCAGAGCTGCGAGGTCGCCTCCTCGACGTTGCGCTTGAGCTCGAGCTGCTGCAGCTCAAACTGCTGGACGCGCTTCTCGAGCTTCTCGACCTTGCGTGCCGCGTTCTCGACGCGGTGCCGAGCCGCCAGCGCAGTCGGCGGCTTCAACTCGAGTTCCTTGATCTTGGCTTCCTCAACTTCGGCGATGACCGCCGCGTCGATGGAGTGCTGCTTGAGGAACCCGACGACCTGGGCGTAGGAGAGGTTGCTCGTGCTGGCCGGCGCCTGCCGAGCTGCTCCTCGGCCACCTCCGCCAGCGCCGGACCCGCCGCCTCCTCCTTTCGTGAGCGCCGCGAGCTGCGCTTCGAGGTCCCTGAGCTCCTTCGCGAGGCGCGCCTCGCTGCTGCTGCCGCCGCCGCCTCCGCTGGCTCCGCGCCCTGCTGCGCGTGCCTTGGTTGCCGCAGCACGGGCATCCTGCTGGATCCGTGCTGGCGCTCCTCCTCCTCCGCATCCTCGGCACTTGAGCCGACTGGCCCAATTGCCGCTCTTCCTGCACTTGCCACACCCCCAGACTGGATACTTGGGGCCTGGCAGAGCATTACCTTTTGCGCCCATGGGCAAGCCAGGGCGGTGAAATGGAAAGCTGATTTCCTCACAGGCACGATCACCACTTCGAAGTGCGCACCTGCAACACCTCTCGAGTGTGAAATGGCTAGAGGAGCGCGGGGGAGGCAGAGGAGGACGAACATGAGGAGCATGACGAGGAGAGTTAGGACGACAGGGAGACAGAGGAGGAGAGGGATGAGGGGCGAGAAGCATGATCAGTTAAGATCGAGGACGGGGGGGACAGGGTGGGTATCTGCGATGATGGGAACGATAAGGATAGGGAGGATAACTCGTACGGGGAGACGAGGGGGGAGGGCGAGGAGGAGGAAGGAGGAACTAGTGCAAGAAGGAAAAGAAGGATGGTATGGCGGAGGAGAGAGGATCAGTAAACGGAGTAATAATACTAGTGATAATGAACAGGAGCATGATATAGTTTTGGAGAGGATGATGCGTTGCAGAATTTGGAAGTGGATTATGAGGATAAGTGTTGGCTTTGCCGTCGAAGGAGGATTATGTGAAGCAGAACGTGCAGAATGCGGATTGTGATGAGGATGGAAGGGAGGATGATGAAGACGGAGTTTGGAGTACGAGGTAGAGGAGGAGTAGGAGCAAGAGCAGGATGAGGAGAGAGGAGTAGGGGGGTGACAACGACGTCAGTGAGGACGACGAGGAGGAATATTTCGACGGCAGGAGTTAAACATGATGTTTGTTTGCTGGTGTTTGGTTAGAAGTGCCTCTTGGGAGCCTCTTGGGAGCCCTCCTTGGGCTATTTCGGGAGCGTTTGGGACCCTCGTGGCTCTTTGGGCGCCCTGGAAGTCATCTTTGCGCCATCTTCGAGGTCATCGATCCAATAATTTGGGACATCGAGTAAGGCTGCTCCGTCAGAGCAAGAACTATCTCCTCTTGGATCCCCATTGGAGCGCGCTTGGGGCCGTCTTGGGCCTATTAAACTCGCTCTTGCGCAACATCGAGGCCATCTTGAGGCCTTAGAGGTTCGTCGGAAGCGCAAAGGGCCCACTGGCCACTTGGACCGTCTTAGGGTGGTCATGTCATGTGGCCTCGTGAAGACATGTTGGAGGACATCCGGAGCTATATTGAATCATCCTGCGCCATCTCAAGCTACACAGTCATTCTGGAGCCATCTTGGCCCAGCCTCCCTCGGAAGCTCACGAGATGCCAACATCTATTACACACATCGACAGTCGTCTAACTATATTGGCTTGGAGCGAGGGGGCTCTCTTGTCAGAGTTGCCCCTCTTTGGCCCAAGTAGTCGCCTCTTGGGGCGCTGTGGGACGCTCTTTGGGCTCTCTTGGGCAGTATTGGACCATTTTGACGCCTCACAAGCTCATCCGAAGCGACATGGCGAGAAGAGAACAATTACTTTCTTCCCGTGGTTGTTCGACAGACTCTGGCCTCTGGGGATCGTCTGTGGCAGGTTCTGGAGGAGGAGAAGCAGGAAGAGGAGGAGGAGGAGGTTGTCGGAGAAGGAGGAGCCTCTGTCCGCGCTGCTCCTCGTGCCCGTCCGTGTCGGGGGGCGGGGGCCGGCGGTCGTGGGCCGTCCCTCCTTGGGCTTCGGGAGAGCGGCCCGGCGAGGATCGATGGTCCCCAGGACGTGTGTTAGCCCAAACGTGTGCGTACCCAGTTCGTTTCCGCCGATAGCGAGCAGTTCGTGTCGGCCCTCGTTGAGCCGATTGCGTCGTATTGGAGGGCCTCGGTGGACAAACACGCGTTGGTGCCAGCGCACGTTCTGAGGGTCACCGAGAGGAGTGGGTGGTGTACAATCTGGACTGCGGCTTCTACGAGGAGGTTCCCCTGCCCGCTTGGCCCTGCGCTGCCTCTGCTCCAGTCCTCGGCGGCGCGCCTGGGTGGGGAGGCGGAGGGGCCTGGCTTTCAGAAGGCGGCGGAGCTTCTCAGGAGGGGGTCTTCTCGGAAGGCTGGAGGCCTTTCGAATGGCCCTCTGTGGCTTTGTAAACGGCTTACCAGAAGGCCCGAGGGTTTCTGAGAAGCTCGCCGCCTCCTGCGGAGGCCCGCCCCCTCTACATCCCCCAGGCGCGCCGCCGAATTATGGCCGCCAATTATTGACGCTTCGCGTATCCCCATATTCCGTAGACCTGGCTCAAGTCCGTAGCCTCTGGCTCAAGCCGTGTCGGCTCGAGGTTGGTCGGCGCGACCTGGGTCCGCTGCCTCCGGGGCCGGCCGGATGGAGCCGCCCTCTGCACGGCGGCGCCGGCTGCGCCGCGCCGCCGCCGCCCGCGCCGCACCGGCGCCCCTCCCTGGCCGACCGCCCGCTCAGTGGGCTGCCGGCCCTGCGGCCGCTCGCGCTGGCCTGGCTGGCGCTCGCTCGCGCCGCCCGCCCCCCGGGCTAGCCGCCGCCGCCGCCGCCGCCGGTGGCGCGGCCCTGGGCGCCGCCGCGACCTCCCGCCCGGCCGCCGCTGCCGCGGCCGCCTGCGGCGCGGCCCTGGGCGCTGCCGCTTGCGCTGCCGCGACCGCGGCCGCTGGCGACGGGGCCGCCGCCGCGGCCGCGGGCGCGCGCGCCGCCGCCGCGGCCGCTGACGCCGCGGCCGCTTCCGCGGCCGCGGCCAAGGCGGCCTCTGCGGCCGCCCTGGCCGCTGGCCCCGCCGCCGCCGCTGCCGGCGCCGCTCCTGCCTCCTCGCCGGTGGTGGCGGCGGCGGAGGGCCCGGGGGCCTGCCCCGCCGCCGCCGCCCCTGCGGCCGCAGGCGCCGCAGCCGCCGCCGCCGCCGTCGTGGCGGAGGCCGCCGCCGCCGCGGCCGCGGGCTGCGCGCCCGGTGCTGCCGCCGCCGTGGCCCGCGCGGCCGCGCGCGGGCCCGCCGCGGTTGGCGCCGCCGCGGCCGCCGCGGCCGCCCTCGGCGCCCCCCCGCGGCAGCGGCAGCAGCAGCGGCAGCAGCAGCTACAGCAGCAGCAGCAGCAGCAGCAGCAGCAGCAGCAGCAGCAGCAGCAGCAGCAGCAGCAACTGCATCAGCCGCGGCAGCAGCAGCCGCAGACCCCCCAAAACGTGTAGAGCAGCAGCAGCAGCAGCAGCAGCGGCAACATAACCCAACAGCTGCAGCAGCAGCAGCCGCAGGCATCCAGCGATCAGACGCCGCAGCAGGGCAGCAGGCAGCAGCAGCAGCAACAACAGCCGCAGCAGCCGCAGGCCCCCTGCGAACAGACGCCGCAGCTGGGTACCAGCCGCAGCAGCTACTGTGCCAGCGGCAGCAGCAGCAACAGCACCCCGCAGCTGCAGCAGCAGCAGCAACACCCCCCTCAACAGCCACAGCAACCGCCGCAGCACCCACAACCACAGCAGCAACACCAGCCCCAACAGCAGCAGACCCACCCCGGGGACGAGAGACCCGCGAGACCTCAAAGAACCCTCTCTGACGACCAGAAGGAGGTACCCCTGCTCCCTGACAGCCTCCTGGGCACCTCTGGGAGCCCGCAGAACCCACGAGAAGACTCATAGGTACCCTTGCTCCCCCAGCAGCAGCAGCAGCAGCAGGGCAGAGGGAGGCCGCGGCGGAGTCGGCGGAGGCTGCGGAGGCCGCGGAGTATCGGGGGCCCGAAGCGGCGGAAGCCTCTGAAGGTGCGGAAGAGGCACAAGCCTTCATCCGTGTCTCTGGATTAGAACCGGGCGGGCAGGGGTTGGCCCCCGAAAGTTCTGGCGGCAGCCGCAACGGTCAGCTAAGCGAGACCCTGGACCAGCAGGGGCTCGCCTGCCACGCCGCGCCACCCCCGCCTCCCCTTCAAAGCAATCAGACCGTCAGCAGTCCTCTGGGGGCGCCACAGACCCAGCAGGGGGGCCGCGGACCAACCGTCCAGACGCAGGACAGCGAAGCCATCCACTGGCTCGTCGGGAGAACCCCCTTCGCGCCTATTCGCCCCCCTTCCCTTGCCAGTGAACCCGCGCTAATGGGCGGCGAACCCCGAGCGCGCTCCCTCCAGACGTCCAGGGCACGACAGACAAAGAATCTTGTGCTCTGGTAGCGGAAACTGCGTCGCCGTGCGCGCGCGCGCCCGGCACAGCCGGCGGCGCCCCCGAGACCGGCGAGAGTCCTGCGTTGACCGAAGGGGGCGCACCCGGGAGCGACGGCGACACAGGCCCGAAGGCGAACGCCAGCGGAAGGGGCCTCTCCCCGCACGCCGCAGGGCAGCGTCCGCCCTGGCGGCCGGATGCGATCCGACCCCCGCCTGGCGGTCAACTATGCGGCCCGCCTCTCCCCGCGGAGCCCCGCCAGGCGCGCAGCCGGAACTGTCGCGAGTTGATCGCGAGCCCTCCGGCCAGGACAGCGAGGCCGGTTCGCCGGAGACTTGCGGCCAGAACACGCGGCAGCAACGATGGCCAGACCCGCGCCAGTGGCCAGAGCCCTCGGACCTCGACACGGGACTGCAGCTGTACAAAACAATAATCGACAACATCCTGGGACCTTCCCGGGGAGACACCCGGCCAGGCGACAAGGCGGCTCCAAGTCACCTTGGGAACAATGTTCACAGGCACCCTGCACGCTTTCGCCAAGCGGCAGACCGTGCCCACCAGCAAAGGCGCGCTCGACCCGCTTCGGCGCGACCCGCAAACCTGCCACCCCTTCCTGGAATCCTTCCGCAGCCACAAGTGCGACGCACGGGTCGTCAGCGACGCGCTGGGCCTCGACGTCGACTGGATGGGCTCGGTTGTGGCATCGGCACCGGGGCCGAAGCGGCGGAGCGAGCAGGGATCACCGCGCGGCAAAGGGCCACCCGAACACCCAGGCAGGGCAACAAAAAACAGTGGCGGGCCGTCTCCCCACAGTAGCCGTCGCTGCCCCACCTCGTGGCGTCGCACGCGCGGGGATCAGGTGCGAGGAGGGTGGTCGCTGGCAGCAGGCCTGTCGCTGCCCAGCAAAACGCGGCCTGCGGCATCGGGGCCCAACGTGGTTTTTCACAGCAGAGGGATCTGAGTGTTTGTGAAGGGCTGACAATGGCAGCAAGCACCTTTCCCGCTCGACGGGTGCGCCACCTTTCCCACGGGTGGGGCGCCTGCCGAGGGGAGGGGCGGCCTCCCCCCGCCTCTCTCCTTGGGGGCCAGGCGGGCGTCGCAGCGCGTGTGGCGGAGGCGGAAAGTGGCGCCTTCACTGCTCCTCCATCTTCTGACCCATGCGGCGACTAGCTGCGACCCCCGATGTCCAACCCCCCCGCCCTCTGGTCACACTGCAGTTTCACATCAGCCGCGGCTTGCTGCGACCCGGCAGGGCCATCATAGGAGACTCCAACCATCAAATAGAGATCACAGCGGCGATTAGCTGCGACCCCCGAAGATTGGAGCACAAACATCAGCCGCTGTCTGCTGCGACCCCGGGGGGCCACCATGCGGCCCTGGACGCTCGCGGGGGCCTGCCGGAACCACGGGCCCGGGGCCTCCCACGGGGGCTCAAGGCACTCTTGCATCCCGGTTTTGGCAGCCATGGGCCGCCCTTCGCCGCCCCCCCGCGCGCGCTTCGTCTTCGCGGCGCCCACTGCCTGCCATCAGTTGCAGCGCTGAGAGCAGGCGCGTGAAGGGTGGGCGCCGGCAGCAGCTCCTTCCCGCCCAGCAAGGCGGCAGGTGGCATTGGGGCCCGAGCGCGATCTGTGACTGCAGTGGGCCTAAGTGTGTGTTCCGCGGGTACTCCTGGGGCTCTTGCATCCCGGCGCTGTCCTCCCTGGGGCGTCTGCCGCTCGGGCTCGGGTCCGCCCTCTGGGGCCAAGGTGCTCTCGCGTCCCGGTGCTGTCGGTTCTGCGGAGGCGGAGGCGCCATCCAATCAATAGGGATCCACGTGCTCCGGCGCATTGTCGGGGCGCGGTAAGCTAAGTTGGAGCCCGCGTCGTCAGTTGCAGGGCTGGGATCAGGGGACACGCCAACCATCAAATTGAGATGGGCGGTGATTAGCTGCGACCCCCGAGTCAATGAAAGGGACCGCAACCGGACACAATGACCCTGGACGCACGCGGGGGCCTGCCTGAACCACGGGCCCGGGGCCTCCCACGGGGGCTCATGGCACTCTCGCATCCCAGTTCTGGCAGCCAAGGGCCGCCCTTCGCCGCCCCCCCGTGCACGCTTCGTCTTCACGGCGCCCACTGTCCTCAGTTGCAGCGCTGAGAGCAGGTGCGTGAAGGGTGGGCACTGGCAGCAGCTCCTCCCCGCCCAGGAAGGCGACAGGTGGCCGACGTGATCTGTGACTGCAGTGGGATCTGAGTGTGTGTCCCGCGGGTACTCCTGGGGCTCTTGCATCCCGGCGCTGTCCTCCCTGGGGCGTCTGCCGCTCGGGCTCGGGTCCGCCCTCTGGGGCTCAGGTGCTCTTGCGCCCCGGTGCTGTCGGTTCAGCGGAGGCAGAGGCACCGTCCAATCAATGGAGATCCACATGTTCCGGCGCATTGCCGGGATGTGGGATGCGCAGTTGGAGCCCGCGTCGTCAGTTGCAGCGCTGGGATCAGGGGGCACACCTACCATCAATTTGAGACGAGCGGCGATTAGCTGCGACCCCCGAGTCAATGAAAGGGGCCGCAACCGGACGCGCCAACCATCAAATAGAGATCATAGCGGCGATTAATCGGTGACAGGGGGACGTCGGCGGAAGCACCCCCCCTGCGCGCCAGCCTACCGGCCTGTCGTTTCAGGCTTCAGTTCTGGCAGCTTCAGCTCTAGCGGCGAGTAGCTGCGACTCCCCAGGGCCCACCCCCGGAGGCGCATCTCGCTGCTGGCCCACATTCCGCGTCGACTGCGGCCCTGGTGGGCCGTCGCCCGTTCGCAGTGGACTGCGGCCTCGGTGGGCCATCGCCCGTTCGCACGCATTCAA